ACGTGTTAAAAAATATTAAATATTTTGCACTTTTAAATTATGAATAAATTTTATTTTTTTAATTAATAATTTATAGCAGCAGGGAGAAATTTGCCGCGGAGGGATTAACGGATTGCCGGGGCTCCAGGTCGAGGCACGGGGTGATTTTTAGTCTATACGAGTCTGACAGTCCCTCTTGCCTCACCCAGGCGGGAGAAGTCATTGGATGATTTCCCCCCTCCAAAAAATCGAGCCAAAAATGGTCCAGTATGGCTGTTAAATGTATATATGTAATATGTAGGATAATACAGGAGCAAATAACGCACAATTTTGATTTATCTAAAACAGAAAGTTTATTGTTAACATCAATTGAAACACAAATCAATTACATGAAACATGTAGGTACACATTACCAATACCAACCTAAAACAGAAAAATCGACAATTAAAGGTTTTTTACATCCAATAATTCAGTAGATCGACACTATTACATTAATCGGTTGAACCAGCACTTTAACTTTTCTTCTATGAAACTTTGAAACAATTAGAAAATATTATGATTGTAATCTACCAGAGGTTTTTGCATTCTATCAAAAAAAGCGCGGGCTGCTGTCCGCTGTCACTGTCCCACTATGTGTCAAACGTCATTATTGTTAGGCGACGAACACTAGGCTGGTAATAAGGCTGCGCACACACATTATACAAAGCATCTTACACATATGTATGAATAAAGGACGTAACAAAAGATTTATAGGTGTAGGTATATAATTTGGCTACACATAAACTGTATATAATATAAATCAATCTCATCCTTTGCAGTCAGAATTAAATCTTACCACATGAATTTCAAACAGATATCTCAGGAATGTTTGCATTTAAACTGTCAAACACCAAGCGGTCACCGGTGACCGCAACCTATTGTTCTATAATTGTGTCTACAAAACCGGTACTCGACGAGTTAAAGGACAGTTTACAATAAAACAAAGTACCTATATACACGTGTATAAAGCTAAACAAGCAAAACGGCCAAAACTAATTAGTTAGTTAATAGTAAAAATATAACTATTGTAAAACTATTGTAACTCTATTTAATAAGGTACTGTTTAAGTGCTAAGTATGTATTATAAAAACGACCACAGTCAAGGATTTTCCTTACTAATTTATCAACAGCTACCAATTTATTATATCATGTTTATATTTAGAAGCCTGTAACTGAAACGAATATATATGTAGGTAATACTGTGTCGCATATTTAACGTTTTCCCTGTTTAACGTACTGTGCTTGAATATTATTCTCCTGATGTAATCATCTTTTTATATGAACAATGTCATGTACACATCACATCTCATAGTAAGATTCTCTATACATTCGTTCGCATGGGGTACGCTTGTATGGATATCATGTAAGGGGTTTCAGGGTGCTCACATAAAGAAACAGGTCTGTACGGGAAAACAAATCAATCAATCAGTAACATAACATAACATCACGCCTTACTTCCCCGAAGAGGTAGGCAAAGGTGCACACTACGCCACCTAACTCGTTCAGTACCGTCATTATAGACACAATAAAAGAACAATAGGTTTCGGTCACCGGTGTCCTCGCGGTGTTTGACAGTTTAATGCCACTATACAATGTAACACCCACTTTTCACTATCCATGTGGGGGCGAGCCTGTTATTATTGCCATATACTGGGCACTATTCCAGACTCCGTGCTACTACTCGGATTTTTAAAAAACCAGTGATACTTTTCTCGACCCGGGAATCGAACCCAAGACCCCTTGTCCGGCAGTCGCTCTTGCGACCACTCTGCCAATGAGGCAGTCCGATCAGTACAGGTAGAATATTTCAATATAAATCTATTCAGTCACTTACAACCTGTCACCCCTTAATGGCTGCCCCGGTAACGCGAACAGTCGCGAATGCAAATTCTCCGCTTGTTCGAGCATTAACGATGGTCAATGCTCTCTTGGCATCCGCATGTATGTCGTGAATATGTAAGATTTTGTGAAAAAATGGGATGGCTGATGAATTAGTTTCAAGTAATTATAATTATTGTATTTTGTATATAAAATACTTAGTACATAGTGCTTCGACTACGTTCTTGTGGTATAAAAGTATCCTAGATGTGTGATTCCAGACCATAATCTACCCCAACTTCATCTCCATCCCTTTAGCCACACAAACAAAACATATCTACGAAAATTCCCAATTATAAGTTTAAGTATGATTGAATTGATTGATTTTTAAATCTACATGTTAATAATTAATTTTACCTAAATAAAAATTACAAGTTCTGTTCGATGGAATTCAATAAATGTCATTTTCTTTGCACTTACTCAAAACGAGCCGTAGTTTAGTTTAGCGAATAATTGAATGTCGCGAGTCAACATTGAAAAATATTGATATGTAACACTAAACAATAAACAAATGACTACTTTGGAAAAAAAATCCATGTAGTAAGCAAAATTTTGTATGTTTTTTGTTTGTTTATTAGTTATTCCTTCACGTCAAAATGTTTGAAAGGATTGCTTTTCCCGACCCGGGAATCGAATCCGAGACACCTGGCAGTCGCACTTGCGACCACTCGGCCAACGTGAAGATTATGGTCTGAAAACATAGGCCTAATTATTGTCTCACGGGACGTAGGCGAGCTCGCTGGTAGAAGCTAGTAAGAAACTCATAATTTATTCGATATAATAACATTTGAGTAGATTATGATACCTATACCCAGACTACTATACTATATCCAGACTATATTAAGGTAACTATTCTTTAAGGTTATTTTCTTTTTCTTTTTCGATCACTTTGACTAGATTTTAGAGTTACATTGTTCTCGCACAATCCAAACAGCAAACTATGTAACTAGAGAATTGGATTGTGAACCTGATTGAAAAAGAGTAACCTAATTATGAAGTTTCTTGCTCGTTCTTCTCCATAGGAATCTACACCTTGGAATGAGCAAATAGCTTCACTTTTAATTTTATTGTTGACGTTCAAAAGTGCCTTTCTGGTCTAATTGAAATAAATGATTTTGACTTTGACTTTGACTTATGCTATGGTACCTACAGGGTGACTTGTAACTTGACGTATTCCTCTCGGGAGGTGATAATACAACTAATTTCCTACAAAACTAACCCGAGGTCTCTGGTCCGAAAGGGCTAGTTTCTGAGATATTCAACATTTTCGATTTTGGTGATAAACTTCCGATCTAACAACAAAAACATCATTAAATAATGGTTCGATTTAAGTGATTTTAGTTTTAATTTATTGTCAATACATTAATAACCATTTATTAAGATTAATATTTTCAGAAATATCATTCGTTTTAAAAAAAGTATTAAATTAGTATCAAATTTTTATTTGAGTTACTAATTTGGTCAATCTTCTTCTTCTTTCTCTGTCATTTCACTCTTGGCAGAGCGGTCGTGGTCACGTTGAGGCGGCCGTATTTGTACTGGAGGCCGATACAGCTTTCCTCACGATCTCGAATTTAGTCAATAGAAAACTGGGTTTATTTTAGAAAATTGATATTGCACTAAGCGTACAAACTATTAGAAAAACTTTCTTGGCTTTTTACATACCAAAACATTAAATCCTACTAATATTATAAATGCGGAAGTTTGTGAGGATGTATGTGTGTGTGTGTGTGGATGTTTGTTACTGGTTCAGTTCAAGAAATATGAATAGAGAGCTAATCTTCTATATATATATGAAAGAAAGTCGTGTTAGTTACACTATTTATAACTCAAGAATGGCTAAATCCATTTGGATGCAAATTGGTAGGCACGTAGCTTAAAACCAGGAGACGGACATAGGATACAATTTACCCAATATTTTTTTTTAACTTTTTACTGAAAATCAAGAACGGGACCGGGAAATAGTAATATCGGGATTGCGCGTACGAAGTCGCGGGCAGAAGCTAGTAAAATACTACCCATTCATATAATCAAAAAATATATTATCACACTGCCAAGGTAAATAACCAGCATGAGATGACCTGAAAAACTATTGCCATGCTATGGACTTCTGAAACAAGAAAACACTTTTATTTCCCAAACAAAATGCAATACACTGCATTATATTTTTTTTTTGCAATAAGCCTGTAGCCGAGCAGGCGCATAATCTTGATGGTGAGCAATGATGCCCATTAAGACCCAAAACACCAGAGGCGTTACAGAGGCGGTCTTTTGGTAAATAGAAGTTTGAGGATTATTGGGAATTCAGGGATTCGGTCAGGGAATTGGGCTCCCGGTATCCTAAGGCATACAACGACCGTTGTTTCAGGAAAACTTCAGGCTGGTTTTTGTGAGGCCGTGGTATTATTCTGGTCGAAGTATCATTCATGCCGAAGCACGACTCTCTCACACTTATTGTGATATTTGCATTTCTACCTACATCTTTGGAGAATACCAGGAACGAAGTTATGATACTGAGCATCACTCATCAGCAGACTCCCCGTACACTCATCAGTAGTAGGTTTCTTAAGGGTCGGCAAGAAGCATGTAATGCCCCAAGTGTAGGCGTACATAGGCACGGTCGTGTAGGCACGGTAACCGCTTACCATCAGGTGGGCTGTATGCTCGTCTGCCACCGTCGTGGTATAAATAAAAATACTTTTCAAATTATTTTTCTTAGAGTTAAACATTATTTTATTAATCACCATTATCAGTCGGAAACCGCCCACGGTGTGAACTGTTGAAAGACTGGATTTGATATGCTAGTAGCAATCAGTTAGATTGTCAAAAAACTTGTGGATGCCGCACGTGTTTTCGCGCGACATTAACTGAACAAAGATTGACTAGCTTGACGAGCTCGTCAAGCTAGTCAATCTTAACGTATAGACTCTAGCTAGAGTCTATACTTTCTACGTATTCCACATGGTCCCTAGCTTGGAAGTCGTCCTATTAACTAATAGACCAACGTATTCTGTAATTCCCTAAAAACGATAAAAAGCACACAATACATTTTATCAGTTCAGGAAAATATTGTGGCTTGTATAAAAGGTATTTTAGTCCACAAAGTGCCAACATTGCACACACCACGGTGTGACCGTTAGGGTTTTATTTAGTAATACATCGTCGACCCGCGAGGTCGTTCGTGTCGCCAGAATGCCGGATTTCAAATTTATATTATTTATATTCCTTTTGGTAAGTTATTTTTTTCGTTTTATTTTATTAAACTAAGTGCAATTAGTTTGTAGTATGGTGGTAGGACGTTTTCCTTTTTTTACATGTTTTTTGGTGGATCGAACACAATATATAGAAAGACAAAGTGTTTAAAGAGACATCCGGCGTCAAGGATTTTAGGATCACTGGTTTCCTGCCTAGATAACTACCATCTACACAGATAAGTTTATGATCATCATATTTTTTTTTTAATTACAGGCAGTAAACTACGTTGCTGCGAATGTGGTTGTCGAGGATGAGGATTGGACTAAAATGTAAGTTTTTTGTTTTATTCACATTATCACATCAACAGCCTATTAATGCTGCTGAGCAAAGCCCCTTTCTCACACGGAGGAGGTTTGAGCATTAATCACCACGCTTGCTCAATGCGGGTTGGCAATTTCAAACTTATAATTAGAAATTATTAACCCAGGTTTCCATACGATGTTTTACTTCACAGTTCGTCAGATTTCTATACCTAAATAATCTAAAAAGTTCATATAACTTGGAAAAGTCATATTGGTACTTTCCAGGTTGCGAAAACAAGTTGTATAGTGATACTATTCCCATTCATATGCTCTTTTGTACTTATAAGTACCTACAGCTTTCGATAACATCCCGCATGTTTCACTAATTTCTATCTATATGAGTGTATAAGCGAATAGCAACTCCATAACTATAAAATC